TCAGAGATGACAAACAGTTTGGACATTTATGAGCAGCATTTAATGAACATTTGACTACTGGAATTTAACGAAATGCAGCCAGAGGAGGGAGACAGAGGCTGAGCAGACCCGGGGCATCAGCTTAGCTGACTGAATGGGCTACGCTTTATTGATTAACGAATGCAGGAAATGATTGAGGAAATGATGAGCCACCAATAACTAATCTGTCTCAGAATTGAATGAAATTTATAATAGAAAAAATTGCCTAATCAGCAGCGGCTAACTGGAAGAAGCGAGGTGAAGTTAGACGAGGCTGTCATTCTCTTCGCTCTCCTTCTCAGCCTCTCGCCGGCTCTCTTTCTATACTGTATGACAAATGAAGACAACAATAACCTAAATGCTTTATAATTAGTTAGCAAAAATCAAAGAATTTGCTGCTGACCTTAAAAGAAATATGCTTTACAAAGCCAAATGATTTGTTATAGTTCAACTTTTTTCATTTATATTTTTATTGTGCCTTATTTATAGACGCTCACAAATTATATATATTTATAGAGAGCGGGCAGTGGGGGGCGAGGGGTTTTGCTTTATTATCTGTTGCCCAACTTAGTCTTATCTTAATCCCATTCACGATTCACTAAGCGTCTGCGTTCCAAACACATAAAACTGTCAAAAAAGAAACAAAAGCAAAAAGCTGAACACGAAATTCTTCGTCTTCGAGCTTTGTCTATGGTTGGTTTTTTTTTTGTTTTTGATTTAGGCAAGAAGACAATGCCGATAAGTCGCGTCTGTGTGCGTGTGTGAGTGATATCAATATTCAGTTAATGCCTTGATTTATTTAATATATAACACATAATTTTGTTATTTTTTTGAGGTTTTTTCCACTTTTTGCTTTCAATGTGTTCAAAAGACAAAAATCACTTGTAAATCCATCCAAATCAAATCAAATAAAACTTCCTGGCTATATAGCCATATGGCATACACACACAGACGCATTTGTTGTGCGGCAGATAAATAATAATTACACTCACACGACATAATCAATTATGCCTGCTAATAAATGGCTACGGGGACACATGTAGTCCATCAAATATATATATATGTGTGTGCTGGTGTGTATGTCTGAGTGCGTGTGTGTGTGTGTGTTATCCACAAATTGTGCCTAGCACTAATCACGCCAGCATGTTCATAATCAATTTTATCGCACTTAGTTGGATTAATTGCGATATCAATGACAGCGAGACGTCAAGGGGTTGGGGTTGGGGGTAGGGCGCTAGAATAAGGCTGAGTGGGGGCCGTCTGGCTGCCTATGTCAGCAGTCAGCAGACCCAATTTCGATAAAAAAAACAGCGAGTAATTGTGCGCTAGTTCTGGCTGCATGACTAAGAGTTACCCTGAAAGCACTGTGCTAGGGAAGCGCCCTATAAAATAGACTTAGCTGATATATATAGAGCTATTTGGCCATGGGAGATATGAGTCCATATACCAAATTTCTGCAGCTTAACTACCAACATTTTAAGAATACAGCTAAAATTTCTTATCGATTTTAATCGATATCTTGGAAAAAGTGATCGATAATTCGATGAAAAATAAATTAACAAACAAATAATCTGATTGAGAGTTGGATGAACACCCAGATAGTGCAGCAGACGGATGCACGGAGGTCCGACTTGACTATTGCTTATATTTACACTTTATGGCATGAGCCACGCCTCCCTTCACCTCTTACATACATTACAGCAAAATGTCTATATACCCCACTTACACTTTTGCAGGGTATTCATACAAAAAGTTGATGACGCGCAGCGAGCAAAAGTCAAATACAGTTATACCTTAACAGTTACAGTTACAACGTGCTATCGGCACTTATCGTGCATATATCTAAGTTGTGCATGTGCAGCGGATTATCTTATCTGAACAGCGCAGAGCTAAAAGCTTTTAGCTTGGATATCGCACAGAGAGCGGGAGTGTGGGAGGGGGACAGGGTGGAGAGAGTGCTTGGGGCTTGGCCAAGGCGCACCACATTACAAGAAGGCAATTAGCCCACATGGTTAAGCACACAAATAAAGAAAATACACACGGCAAAGGTAATATTTACAACCAGCTGCACCACGCGCTGCACCACCCGCGCCAACAGCGCTTATCGTGCTTCCAATCTCCACTCTGAAACACCGACCCGCCCGATAAGGATTATCTCTTAATCTGCATAAATAGCGAAAAATTGTCGCACATGGTTTTAGCTTTACTCTATTTTTTTTTGTTTCACTTTTTTTATCACAAATGAAAACGTTTTGAGGGCACAACATTGCGTTGTAAATGGGTGTGTGAGTGTGTGTGTGTGTGTGTTTGCATGCCCTTACCATGTGTCTATACATTCAGTGAGACACTACGAACTTGCAGTTCATTGCAGCCTTCTTGTCAATTAAAAATTCTATATACATTTTTAGAATTTCGGTTTACATTTCAAAACATTTTTGAAATAGTTTTGAAGCTGAATATGAATCGATTTGGCCATATTCAGGTTTTTAGGTTAGTGCCTCGGATCTGCTAACGCTTCATTTTAAGTAAATAAATCTTTAGCTTTGTTTTTAAGCTGCTTTATATATGAACTCTATGGAGAATATAGCATATATAAAAATATGTATATTTAAGATAAAAAGAATTTATATAAAATTTATAGAATATTTAGATTTTCTAAAGCATGTTGAATATATATAATTTATATAACGGAATCTTTATATGGAAGCAATGGTATAAATGAAATTAATCTATGGAATATTTGGGATGTGTAGAAGATTTACTTTCTCATATAATTTATAGAAAATATATAGAAATTATTGAACATATATATCAAATTTATATGGAATATATAAAACATATATAGAACTATAGAAATAAATTTCTTCTTAGAACTTCTAAGTATTTAATATTTATATTAAATTATATATATTTTATTTAATTTTTAAATTGTATTATTTTATTATTTTATATTATTATATATAATATAGAAAAAATTAATAATACAAATATATTCTAAAAATTGTATTATTTGACCTTAGAAAGCAGGACTCTATTTCTACATGGATAAATCTAGTTTTAGTGGTATATTAATATTTAAATTCTATAGTTTCTTTAGACATTGAAATTTTAATAAAACAAAGAACAATTGAATATCAAGTCTTGCAGAAATTATTTATAAAACATATTGGCTTTACCAATTATATATGATTATTATCATATATATAATTTTATCAATATTAGATAATATAATAAATAATATATTTATTTAAAAAAGTCTTTCTATATTTTCTCAGTTCTTGAATTTGTAACTTAAACTTGGAAATGTATTTGAATTTTAATTTTTTTGTATTATTATTTGAATTATTTTTACTATTCTTTATTCTATCAGAATCTCTCAACCCTTTCTTGTAGTGTATGCAAACTTTTGTGCGGCACTGTTAGCATTTTTAGCATTTGTGTTTATTTGCACTGATTCAGTTTGCTTTAGCAGAGGCGACAGATTATATGGTTTTTTTTTCTGTGCTAGGTTGAAGGGTGACTAATGCGAGTAGAACCCATTGAAATTATTTACGGCTAAGCTCAGAGCAGTGAGAACTACGCCACAATATGAGGGTTAATGAAATCAAGACGAGTTGACTTTATGAGTTGGCCAAGAGTTAACTGAATCAACTGAGGAAAGCATATGGAAGAGGAATATTGAATGCACGGAGAGAGAAGTATATATAACCAATAGAATATTAATATATTATTATATTTACTATAAATGTGGTTAATGGAATTATCCAGCAATCTATCTATAGGCAACTATGGCCTTTGGTTAACCTATTTGGTAGTTTGAAGCCCGAACGCTGTAGTTTCATCTATGACTAAGTTTTACAAAATCTTTAGCATGTATTTATTAATAGGCTAACTAATTTGGTATATGAATAGTTTGACTCTGTGAGCTAGTGTTAAATATCTCATGAATGTTAATTAAGTAAAAAGAGTTCTAAGCTAAGTTTGGAAGGAGCCCATATGCTACTGTAGCCAACACCTTTGCAATATAGCGAGATTTGAACTGTTGTTCATATAACTTTAGGACCTCACAAGCTACTGCTACTACAAGCAGAAAGCCTTGTTTATAGATTGTATATTATAAATTAAAACAAAAAAAATATTATAAACGCTGTCTACTTTTTTTTTACCAGAATCCCACATTCAAACTGTTGCCTGGTTGCCCTGTCAATTATTGCCTTAATTTCTATATTGACATCAAAGTTATATTTATATTGACACAATCGACTTTATTTTCTACTAGAGTGGGGTTTGAGCTGTTATCTGAAGCCCTTTAAAAAGTTAAAAGTTCTGCAGGGTTTTTATATAGGTAGTCTTAACTTATGGATAGGGTGTATATATAGAAAACTTTTTATTCAATATAATGAGTAAGGGGTTCGAGCCTTTGAGGCGAACAATCAGAAAACTATTCTTAATATTTATTAATGATATGTAAAACAACAACAAAATACATTGCATATTCTGTGTAGTTCGAACCCTTGCCTTCACTAATTGAACCACTGCTGATAGATTTTCAAGATGCACATGGAACTTAAACCAAAACAAATTTTAAGAGCAAGTCTATAAAGAATACAGCTTAGAGAATTTGTATTGCTTATAATTTAGGCAATATCTGTATAACCAAAAACTACTGTTCGAATTTTGAAATATATTTTTAAATTGTATATATATATATATAGATATACATAGAGATAAATTTTGAGTCTAAAGCGGAGTTTGAACTCTCAATTTCCATAGCTCTAAATAATTGTCTTATAAAAGAAAAAATCTGTTTATAATTACATCGAAACATATATCGTAATAAGATACGATAAACGCTATAATATATATCGTAAATTATGATGAGGCTGCCTCAAGCTGATCTCGCATGATCAGTTGATGAATCCAAAAGGATCTTATAGCATTATAGTAGTTGCATATAGTTCTATATGCAGCAGGAAACTCACCTGCTGTCCAGCATTGGCCGCTACCCAGGCCTCTGCAAAAGTTTCCATAGCGCTTTGAAAGTCCATGATGAAGTGTGGTTTGAGTCCGCAGCTTCGTTAACGTGATTTGAAGAACTGTATTGTGAATGCACTTTGCCGGGCACTTGTTGTTAATAAACTATTTAAGTTTTATGTGTCTTGGTTTTGATTGTTTCTCGTTGGGTTTGATTGGGGGTTGAGAGTGAATGAATGGGGGTAGTTGCAGGTGGCAATTGCTTTGGCATTAATTGGTCTTGGTTGGTTTGTGATGGAAACGCGAATCAATTTCTTTATTTTTTTTTTTATTTTTTTTTTAGCGATAAGGCCTAAAGCACGCTTTGATTATTGATTATTAAGCAAAGTGTTGTTGTTGTTGTTGATGGAGACGCAAATTAGACACAAGCACAAATGAAACGAAAGACGGAACGACGCGACTTGACCAACGATTTTCAGCGGAACGGATTCGATGTGGCTGCCACACGGTTGCACATGCAGTTCTTGTTATTGTTATTGTTGTTGTTGTTGTGGCTCAGCTCACGACGCGACATCATTAGCAAAGGAGGAGGAAAAAATTACGTTGCGTGGGCGTGGCAGCGTGTCTAAAACAGTCAAAAGAACAAGAGAAACCGACGGTCGACGGTCGAAGGCGATAAGAATCCTCAAGTACTAAAACACTCGAGCTGCCAATGAAGACTGACTTCAGTAAGAGATTTCATATGCTATTGTTTAGCAGATACTCTGATTAACGGTGTTGTTCTTGTTGTTGTTCTTGCTGTTGTGATAAGCGCAAATGTCTCTTGTGTGTGTGTTATTTTTTTGTTTACTTTGATTTGATCTCCCTCTCTCTGTCTGTCTTTCTCTTCTTGTACTGTCTTCTAACTAGATGAAAAATGTATTTATTTTCAGCATTATTCGATTTTGACGTATTTCGTATGCTCTTCTTCTTGCACTGCTGGCTGCTCTTGGCTGTTAAACGGACGCGCGTTTGGACATCCTTACACAGCACAAGTTGTCGCACAACTGACAAAATTCTTTCGCATTCGCACTGCTCCGATCCGAATGTAGTTGCCGAAGACCGCCCTCGTGCCCGAACCCCGTCTCAACCGGCCGGCGTTCGGTTCGCATTCTCTCTGTTCATTTGCTGGCTGGCATTGGTGTGCATTGGTGTGCGTGGCTAGAAAATACGATTGCGCTCTCCCCCTCTCGCACACACGCTCGCGCTCGCTCTCACTACTGGCTCTCTCGCAGTCGCTGTACGTGTGTGTTTCAAATAGTAGCAGCACACTGTAAAATAGTAGCAAATAGTTGCATTTATTATATTCAGATATATTTATGCAAATTTTATAAAAGATTGTGTTAGTCTATTATACATATTATACTATTAATTAATTATATTATACTATTAAAGCATGTTTTTTAATTCAATAATAAATTATATATCTTAAAATGTATGTCAACTGTCTAACTTAAATAATCCTAGAAGATAAAAACAAGAGTTTCTCGTTTATTGGTTAATTTTAATATTTTTATATATGTAGAGAATATATAATAATTATAAGCTGATATATCATTAATAATAAATAGTTCCTAGTATAAAAATACCTTAAGTTCGCATAAAACCAAATAAGAATTCAATATTCTGCCTTTATCCAAAACCGTAGTAGAACTAGGAGTATTTTTACATTTTCAGAGAGCGTCAGACTTTGCTTGTGTTTGTGTAAGTATGTGACCAAAACAAAACACGCACACAACGAGAGCAAGCGAAAGAGCGAGAGCGCTTGTGAGAGCCACAGTACACGCACGCACACATTCACAAACATACACGAACTGGGGTAAACCTGTTCCGGCGCAGAATTGCACTTGTCTCGGCGACAGGCTCACCCACCCCCCGCACTACATCCACATCCATACTCATTCCACTACCATCTTAAACGACTTCCCTTCGGCTGCGCGTTTTCTTTTACTTTTTGTGCGCTGTAGCGAAATTCAATGGATTTGCCGCAAATTCGGGTGGAATTATGCCACACACACACATGCCCACTCTCGCACACTCACACAAAGACGAGCTATTGTTGAGAGTGGGCGTGGGCGTGAGCCACTCGGCTAAGCGGACAACAGTGCGCGCGCGAGTGCGAGCGATGCGGGAATATAGATTCGCGCGCCTGTGCCCGACTGGGATGAAAGAGTAAATCGTCAGCGCTTATTATTATTATGTCGTTATGGGGGAGCCGAGAGGGTGAGGGAGACGGTAGAGGTCGGCAACAGTAGCAACACCCACTCCGCATTTAGCACCTCGACGAATGGAAATGGATGGCGGCGACTGCTCTGTGTGTGTGTGAGTGTCCATGTTCGTGCCTTTGACACACGAAGTTGACCACTTGGCGGAGACGCAGATAAGAGCGCAGATAATGCGCGCGCATTACATGTGATTAGGTGTTCGGCTAGGCTGGGTTTAGCCAACCGCCGTGCAGGAAGCCGACGCTCGAGTAAATGGTAACGGTACATAGCCAGCTGTCAGGATACATATGTAGACGCTATTGGTATATGTATATGCCTCGTTCCCCATCGGGGTGGAGTTATCGCACGCAAACAGTTAAAATATATAATTAAAATAACACGCAGCTGCAGCGAATATTACAAAAAAATTTTTCATATTTAATTAAACATAATAAATTTACAGATGCATACATACCAAAATACAAATATGTATATGTACGATATATTCTCTAATAGTATATGTGTACGGGGGTTGGGGATTTCAGCACTTGTCAATTGGTATAGATTATCAGCCGCAAGAAAAGAAAAATAAAAAGCTCTCATTTATCATCTTTCTTATCTGCTGGCGTACTAAGCATTGCTATGAATGCTCTCCTACTTGTTCTCTCTCTCTCTCTCTCTCTCTCTCTCGCTATCCCTGCTGCTCTATTTTTATAGCAGTCACTCACATACACATACACCGAGCAGCACACACTCGTACACACACATATGCATAGCCTTGCACTCGCATATTCTCGGGTTGCTCGCTCTTTCCCTTTCGCTCTTGCACAAGCGTGCCAGAGCGAGATAACCCATAAAAATTTCGTGCAAAAGCAAAAGATGAGCAAAGCGTAAACGCAAACGAAAAACGGCAAAGCGTACAACAGCAACAACAACAACAGCAACATCAGCAAAAATATCACGAAATAAACATAAAAAGCGCCGGCAAACCAGTTCGGATAGACTCCGCCCTCGGCGTACGCTGATTGGCTAAGCTTTGCCTTTGCCCAAGACTTCATCTTTTTTTCTTTTTTTTTGTTTTCTGTGTGCTTTGCTGTTGTTGCGTTGCTTGTGCTAAGTTGTTGTTTCTTTGTCGGCTGCGGTTTATCGCCTTCAACGACGACAACGACAACGACAACGCAACGACGACGATGACGACGACGGCCGACGACGTCGACGTCTTTCCACTTAGTTAACAGCCTCATGGGCAGCCCTTCGCTCTCTCTCACACTTCCATTCTTTTGCTGAGGTGGGCTTTACCAAATTTGAAGCTCCAAATCTTTGCTGTTCTTTGAATTTTATAGCTTTGAGCGCATATTTACATATGAAAGCGGAGCATGTGTGTGTGTGGGTATGTAATTGCTGTAAATAGCTTATTAGAAACGTGTGCTTGGAATTTGCGTTAATGTGGGCTAAAAGTTTTACGTGAGTGTTATTTAAATGACAGTATATATAAATTATGGGAAAATTGTAGTAAAATGGAATAAAATTATAGATTAGGCTATGCAAGTATTCTTTACATGGCAGGTTATTCGCTTTAAGCGAATATTATTCAATAAAGAAATATCAACCAATAGATCTATTGATTTTTATGTTTAGGTCCTTTGAGTTATCAGCCTGTTGTAATATGATATCAAAGAGAACTTTTAATAATCTAATACATTTTTAATGAGATATTTTGAAGCGCATAAGTGAATAGGAATGGAATTTAATGTCGACAGTAAAACCTCCCTGCTTGAGGCACTATTGTCAGTCTGCACATTTACTAATCCGCTAATAAAATCTTATCGAAAAGCCTGAAAATTTCATCATTAAATTCAGATAAAGGAAGCAAACTTTTATTTGAATTTTTAAAATTTTTCTATTTAATTGAATAATTTTTCGGTAAATTATGTAAGGAAAAAATAAAAAGTTAAAGATTAAAATATATTGAAATTTTTTTAATATTTTAGAAACAAATTTTAATAAAAAGACTAAAAATTCAAACTTAAAATTTTTAATGTTAAAAAAATGTAAGTACTGCATAAATATTTGTTTTAAGTTGTTCGAAAATTGATTGGCTAAGTTAAAAATATATATATAAATGGAAATCATAGTTCACCTCTTAATCGTCTAGAACTCTAATATAATATATAAAAAAGAATTAACGATAATTTAAGGAAATAATATTTTAACTGAACAAATTATAAAATATTCATATATTCATATATATATCTAAAAAAAATTCATCTAAATAAAATCTATAATTAAAAATTTGTCAAAATTGTCATTTTTCTCTTGAGCATAAAAAAATAAGAAAAAGTACTTGGCGCCAGCGCCAGCGAAAATCAATAATTTTATTAAAGTTCTATGGGGCGACTGTCATATTTTGCTTTATATATACACACACATACACACACTTTATATATATATTTTTTTCGAGCGCGAGACAAACAGCAGCAGAAAGGACC